TTCATGATTTTGAAGTATCACTAAAATGTTGTATGAAACTATATGATTTTTGAAGTATTACTAAAATGTTATATGAAACTATATATTTTTTGAAGTATCACTAAAATGTTATATGAAACTATATAATTTTTGAAGTATCACTAAAATGTTATATGAAACTATATGATTTTTGAAGTATCACTGAAATGTTATATGAAACTATATGATTTTGAACTATCTGAGAAAAACAACTTGTTTCATTGATTTGACTCATGATAACCGCACCTTATCACAGGCATACACTTTTTGACTAGCCTATAGAAAAGATTATAGTGGCTTAAAACCCATACACAAATGTTACGAGTATGTAATTTCTATTGAAACTAAGAAGAAGAAATATACAGTTTGATCGAAATCTACCAGAAAACACTGTATGCTTATTTGCTTGACAAAGAAATTAACTAGATTAAAATTTGGATGACAAAGTGTATCATAATTTATTGTTGCAAGTGTAATAAAGGAAAAGAAAACCTTTAAAATGCCAGCTATTCTTAAAAAATGTCATGAAGTGTGACTGTTATGATCTGATTTTCGAATCCATTTTTGTTTATTTCGTTTTTGTTTGTTATACGAAAGCATATCTCAAGTTTATCACAAAAAAATTAATTTAATTTCTTAATAACTTCACAAACAATTATTAATTTTTACATATTCAAAATTTGAGCAAAAATGGACCTTATACACATCGTAAATATATAAAATATAAATGTATGTAAGAATTATCATAAGGAGGAGACGTCACTTAATTAAAACAAAGCATAAATCATTTTCTTGGAACACTTCCATAATTTACTTATACTTACTAAAGACCGATAAGGCCATTTCAACTTCATGAATTCACAATTTTTACTTCCAGAATTCCCGCACGAATGCACGATTTCAGCTTCATGAATTCACGATTTCAACTTCACGAATTCACGATTTAAACTTCATGAAGATGAAATCGAGAATTTATGAAGTTGAAATCGTGAATTCATGAATTTGAAATGATGAATTCATGAAGTTGAATTCGAGAATTCGTGAAGTTGAAATCGTGAATTCAAGAAGTTGAAATCTTGAATTCATGAAGTTGAAATCTGAATTCATGAAGTCGAAATCGTGAAAAGTGAAGCTTGAAAGTTGAAATGTCCCCACCGGTCTTTCGTATATACTTGACTGGTTTCAATAACAAATGTTTGTGTAGGTGAATGCCACCAATCTTATTAAAATCAGCTTTAAATAATGCTCCACATTTAAGAAATAAGTAGATCTGAACCAGGTCTCGACACTAACTTTTTCAGCAGGTGGTATGCCGGACCACTGGATCAAAAATTCAGGTGGTCCTTTCTGAACACAGGTGGTCCATCTTTTTTTTTACTCATTTGTTTTTAAGGAATTGGTGACAGACAGATAATAATATTTATTTTTAGATTTATAACAACTGAAGAAAACATGTATTCTTTCTATTTCAATCTAATCAGACAGTAAATCATTGTAATCCTATTAGTATTTATTATCTCATTGAAAAATACATGACAGTACTCATACTTTGGTTAAGTGACTTCTTCCGCAACTCAAGTTAGGGAATAATGAAAGCATTTGTGAATGACATATTTCCTTACTGTTATTCAAATACTCATTGCTGTTTCCTGGTACATCTTATAAGAATAATAATTGCTTTTTATAGATTAACATTTTTTATTAAACTATTAAGTTATTATATTAATATTCTTGTCTTTGAAACAATGAAATATTAATGATAAACAGAAAAATTCCTACATTATAATTGAGCTTCTCTTCCTCACATATTTATTATACATGCTTGTTTGTTGAAATTTATTTATTTTTGACAAAGTATTTATAACCTTTTAAAGTACTTTAAATAAGAAAAAAATGGATCTCTGATCGTTTAAAAAAGTAGCCAAAGTTTACTAGACATTTAATTTTTCCTTTGCCTTTGTTTGCACCATTGTTCATGTGTTTATCCGATATCTCATAGTGATACAATGTTATAAATTCAATGCAGTACTAGAGACATTTTAATGAATTTTATACTTTAATTATTAAATAATTTATGCTTTTTTAACTACACTGTTAGCGAGTTAATAAAAAGTTATGGATGTCTTAATATCTTTTTGAACTAATGAGACGAATGAACATAAACCTGTACATCGGAGAAATGGTTTTAAACAACAATTATAGAACACGTTTTTCGACCAAATAACCATTCTCCCAGATGAGCCCTGCACCATTTGGAAAATTCAAGTGGTCTAACGGACCAGTTGCCTGTAAAATTAGGTGGTCCTTGCCAAAATCAGGTGGTCTCGGACCAATGGAGGCCTGTGAACTTAAGTCACACTGTAAATGCAACATTAAGTATTACTTCAAAAATTACGGTTTCGATATAAGAAAAATATAATACCTGACTGTTTGGATACCATGAAGTTTGGCTTTCTTATCGCAACATTGCTGCAACTGATAAAGAAGTAATTGAAAAATATCACAAAAACAAGTTAAGAAACTTACATTTGTAAAATTTGAAGAAAAAACAAAACAAAAAGAAATCTGAATCTTCTGAATTTAGAACTTAAGCTGGCAAGCATTATGCTAATTACGTTTTAAAGAGACATGATGCTCATTTCTTCAATGTCATGTTGAGTTGAATTTGTCATATATTTTAAAAGACGAAATTGTTATATATTTTACTAAAGACTGGAAAATTATAACAATATTAATCAATAATGAAAAATGATCATAAATATATTTATGATACAATTTAAAAACTATATGTATTATTTAAAAAAGACTGCCCAACACGTAATAAGTATCGAGAATTAAGAACTGAGCGTTACCGTATATTTTGAAATTTTAGAAATTTTCATTGGTCACGTGGATTATTGATTTTTTTTTCATATTGAAATATAAAATTGAAAAAAAGTATGGTAAATGTCAAGTTTATTTTCTTTTATTTAGCCTGTTTACTAATCATTTACTCTTGGATGGGCATAATGTCACTTTAAATTTATTTATTCTCAACTTTTTCATTTAATAAGTATAACCTATTTACTAACTATTATTTCTTGGATGGGCATAATGTGCGCTTTACATTGATTAACATTCATTTATATATTTTAATAACTGCAAGTTGTTACTTTGATAATGTACATGAAATGGGAAAATATATCAATTATTACCTTTTTATAATTCCTTTATTTCCTTCTCCAGTGTTGCTTTTGTTGTTAACAATCTCAGATATCTTTTCATTGTTTCTCAAACCTTTTTCTTTGACCTTTTTATCATCGTTTAATTTTTGTTTCTCTTTAGTCTTTGTAGCGTCGTTTTTCTCCTCGGTTTGAATTCTGTAAAATGCATTATCACCCTCAGGCGGTGCTGACTTAGACTTTAAACCATTTGTATGTTTATGTAGACCTTGACCGTTTGGATCTGCTGTTAGTGGGTCGCCTTCATCATCATTTATTACAATCTTCCTTCTATTAGTGTCATCATGTTTTTGATTGGCAGTTTTATCTTTATCATTAGGTTCAGATTTAGTCTTTGATTTTATTTTACTCGTTGCTGTATCTATAACAATAAAGTCTAATAAATATTTATGATGTTGTATTGTTGTAAACATGTTGCAACCAAATATGACAGTATATGGTTTATCAAAAGGCACAGTATGGCTCAGAAACGAATTAATTTTCTTTAGAAATGTGAAATCTGTAACATTCATATCCAGTAATGCTTTTTAAAGTGAAAGATTTTGTAAAAAAAGATAAAAACCTTAAAATTACATTGTTTCCAGACACTTATGGGAATTTCTCGAATAAAGTTTTAACCGAAAATGTCTCATTTTTTCCAACACACATGAATCTTTACAAAAAATCAGAATGAATCATTCCGGAAAAAAAGAATTCCCCTCACAATACTAATTGGATTAGCGATTATTTGGTGCATGTTCCGTTCATTTTTTTTTATGAAGTACTTGTATACAGTCATATAACTTTATACCCTAAAAACAATTAAAAATTAAGAAATGTAATTTCTGTATGTGTACCACATCATATATTAGAATTACCAGAGACTGTTGGTCCACGTTGAAAAAGCTTTAAATTTCCGGTCTCTTCTTGAAAATTACGTTCCACCAAGTCAAACCTGTCAACAAGTACCTTCAGATCATTACTTAAACGACTTTCATCTGTTGTTTTGAGCCTTTCCTCAAGCGCCTTTATGCGTGTCTGGAGTTTTTCTATGTCTGTGTTTACAAGGATTTCTTAATTTATCATTATGTCATATGTACAATGTACACTATTTGTGAAATATCTCACAGTAATGATCAATAATTGCTGCTCTAATTTCATTTTGTTTTATTTTTACTTTAATCAAAATATCTTAGTCAAAGTATGCAATTATTATATAAAAAACGTTTCATAATAATATAAATTTTAATTCTAAACTTGACATGTCTTGTATTCTTGGTGACGAAATTACCAATTTTTATCATTTAACGTAATTACTGTTTTGTCATAATATAAGCCTTTTTACGACGCGGTCCTTTGCTTTGAAAAAATCTACCGGATGTAGTATTTTATCATGCTACTTCATCCGAAAAGTACCTTGTAAAGTTTCATTAACTTTTTGTAAAACTTTCAAATGCTAGTAGCAGAAAACTTGTTTTCAAAGTTACCTACCTTTATCAATTGGTTCTGTATTGCAATTGCTGAAATTTTATTAATAAGACTTTGATAAAATTAACAATAATAAGATTAACTATCAAAATATTAACTAGCATAAGATTAACTAACATAAGAATAACTATTTCTTGCAGACAAAAAGTACCCTTTCACAATGATCAAAATGACAAAATAGCGGTCCGTGCGGCTGATTGGACGAAAAGATGCCACGGCGTTAAACTACAGTTACGTGTCCCGTAACCCAGATTTCAGGGACTATGAAAATGTAATGTTATTATATTATGTTCAAGATTTCAGGGACTATGAAAATGCAATGTCATTAAAATATGTCCCAGATTTCAGGGACTATGAAAATGCAATGTTATAATATTATGTCCCAAAGTTTTAGGACTAAGGAAATGTTATTACCAGGTACATTCTGTGTTGCCATCATCTATAACCCGGTTGAGTCGTTTCAACAGGAATTTACTAGTCAGCCGTATTTCGTCTATACCTGACCGAATTTCTGTCACCTTGAATAATGCAATTATCTTGTATATAATATCAAAAATGGCGTTACATAATAAGAAGATATTGCATATATTTTAAGCAATAATTTGGATTTGAGGTCTCATGATATGTGAAACCAATATTACTTTGAATTATTATCTATATTAAAGATAACATAAATACAAAAACGTAAATCCTTTAACCCTTTACCTCATATATACGCGAAACAACGCACTTTCGACCCCCCCCCATTTTTTTAGGCCTGAAATAGTGAAAAAATGTCCTATTTGGGCCCCAAACACATGTTTTCGTTTGAGAAATGTTGCTAAAAAAAAAGAGCACTTTTTCGCCGCCCCCATGCAAAAGATACATCAGGGGGTTGCCAGAAGGGGGATGTGCCCCCTTCTGTTTGGGCGTTTGAAGGGGGGGCGGAGTCCCCCTCATCGCCAAGAAAATTTTGGACTTGTGAGAGGCTTAAAATGACCCCAGGTCGATCATAAGGTAACGTGTAACCAACGCTGAAAAGCCTTTGACTCTATCCTCAATCCCTTGAGAAGTTGCAGCACTTTGAAATAAATTTTGATGGAAAAAAATCGAGGCAAAATAGTGATTTTTGGCAATTTTGAGATGTCCCCTCGTTGCCATGGTAACAGGAAATTTAGGACTGAGCATGTCGTTACAAAGGCAATGGTTCAGTCAACATTTGTGCAAAGATTGATTAGTATTGCAGCATTTTTCATAGTTTCATAGCAGTTTGACTTTGTAAGAGGAGGCTTTTCAGTGAAAATGGCCATTTTTCACAATATGCTCATGGGGGAAAGGGTTAACTAAAAAAATTATAAATGTTACAAAACATTTTTTCACCAAAATTAGGTAAAAGACCACATGTTAACATGGAAAAACTAGATTTTGGGTGATTCCAACGTTTTTCATCATTTTTTGTTAACCCTTTACCTCATATATACGCGAAACAACGCACTTTCGACCCCCCCCCTTTTTTTAGGCCTGAAATAGTAAAAAAATGTCCTATTTGGGCCCCAAACACATGTTTTTGGTTGAGAAATGTTGCTAAAAAAAGGGAGCACTTTTTCTGCGCAGCCCCCATGCAAAAGATACATCAGCGGGTTGCCAGAAGGGGGATGTGACCCTTCTGTTTGGGGGGTTTGAAGGGGGCGAGTCCCCCTCATCGCCAAGAAAATTTTGGACTTGTGAGAGGCTTAAAATGACCCCAGGTCGATCATAATGTAACGTGTAACCAACGCTGAAAAGCCTTTGACTCTATCTCAATCCCTTGAGAAGTTGCAGCACTTTGAAATAAATTTTGATGGAAAAAATCGAGGCAAAATAGTGATTTTTGGCAATTTTGAGATGTCCCCTCGTTGCCATGGTAACAGGAAATTTAAGACTGAGCAAGTCGTTACAAAGGCAATGGTCCAGTCAACATTTGTGCCAAGTTTGTTTGGTATTGTAGCATTTTTCATAGTTTCATAGCAGTTTGAACTTGTAAGAGGAGGCTTTTCAGTGAAAATGGCCATTTTTCACAATATGCTCATGGGGGAAAGGGTTAAGACGCCCAAAGTGGCAAAAATTGAAATTGTTGTAGGCTAGATTTGATTGAGCCTGTTTATGAAAAGAAGTGGTAGTTATAAGCTACCTCTCACGCCCATGCCCTCTAGCACCGGCTGAAGCAGAATTCAACAGTTTAATACGAAATTTTGAATTAGAAACATATAGATTATCACGGAAGAACCGTCAATATAGCACGTCCGTGCAATTCCATGGAAAGCGTTGTATGGTCCCCAAGTAAAAACAAAATGCATGTGAACTAAACGAGAAACAATGGACATAACTAAATATAACAGAATTTTGAACGGGGACCAGAGGCTATAAGGCGTGCAACAAAGCCTTGTACGTTATTTTGACATTTTAAACACCAATGAATGAATTATTCTTATATCAAAATATGTGTTGTTCTTTGATTTAACTTGATTCGCCTGCCATGTAATATATATAGGTGTCTTCAATCACTTATAAAAAGAGAAAATTAAAATTGTTGTATCGTTCAATCTGGGCGGAAGGTAACTATAGGGAATCTAAGCATCCTTGCAAAACCAAAAAAAAAAACACAATTTATTTATATTTGTTACATTTAGTTGAAAGTCCTTGAAAAATAAAACAAATCAGATTTACTCTAGTGTTGCAAAGAATAAACTGTGTAATTATGAGTACAATGTATTAAATGAACTTAAGGATGCTTACCTTGTCGTCCATTATTTTGGTTATTTTACCCAGAGACAAGCACGCTGTCAGCATTCAATAACTTAACTGCAATGAAATATAACATAGAATTTTGCGCTTCCACGTTAAAACATAAATTATATTTTGTTTAACAAAAGTTTTTTTTTCATTTAAGAAACAAGTTAACCTTAACATTTATTTTTATCTATACTTCGTATTCTGGGTAATTAAATACTGAAACACAACATTTAAACAGTCAATCTGAAATATGAAGACCCCCGCCCCCTCCGCCACGGCTCGGGTGGTTCAGTTCAAGTCAGCCTTTATGTGATTAGATTTGTCTTTCCTAAGATTCTATTAATGGTGCAACATGTCCTTCACTTATTAAACAAGCTTGCCAGTAAACCATTATAGGAAAAAATATTTAAAAGTATTGAATTCATAGATCTAAACATAACATTTAAAAGTATAGTTAAAAGTACTGAATTCATAGAAAAGTCTAAATTTGTTGATTTACCTACATAATATGTCTAAACTAGGGACTCATATATATATGTACAAAAAACAAACAACAACAAAAAACAACAAAAAAACAAAAACAACAAACAAAACAAACAAAAACAACAACTAAAAAACAACAATAAAACAAACAAACAAAAAAAGTATCATTGAAATTAAACAGGAAGAAGAATATTTTTTCAAAATAGTAAATTTATATAAAAGTTCTTAAAAGTAATATTTCCAACGCGTTTACACCATCACTTTCCTTTTTAATGAATATTTAATAATATATCCATACCTTTAACCAATCGCAGCACGATCACCTAAAATGTGCAGGATCATTTACGAAACACACATAGATTATTCGTTAATTGATAATTTCAACAGTAAAATATTGCAGTTAAAAAATCTAACGATTCACAATACTAAACTACCTGTTACCTCAAATTATTTCAATCCTTTTTTTAATGTCCGTCAATACAATATGTATGTTGATGTCGGAAATTAAGAATATTTCCTTAAAATGAATGTTTCTAGTATGTCTTGATTATTTTCGTCCCTTTACATCACTGAATGTCCGTGAAACATAATATCTTTTAATTATTAGTTTCGGTTTCATGTATAACCACAAGCTTTCACATAGCCGGTTAGTCATGAACTTATACTCGAACACTGTCATAAAACCTGTAAAATCAATGCATTTCTAGCTAAGTGTTATGACTATGTATCGATATCAATTTCCATGTAAAATACTCGAGAGTCAAACACAAGTAATATATCTACACACTCTAAATATGTGGCAAAAGTGATAGAGATTCGTAACGAGAAATACTCTTAATACAAGGCATTCCGTCATTCGGACGTAAACTGCCTTATTAACCGGGACAATTGCGATGTTACGTACGAAAGTATACGGAAAAGTCCGAAGTTTGATGATTGAATCAAAGTTTTAAGAAATACATAATGTATAATAATCAAAGTGCTGCAGCACTGAATGCGACGGACATGCAACCGGATTTTTAGAAAAAAAAAACACAAAAGATTTAACAGAGAAAATTTGTTCCATACAAGTTCGAGATTTGTAGAGCAATATATTTTATGTGTCGAATCTGATATAAATCAGATTTTTTACTTATACAGAATGAAATTTATGCATAAAAACACTGGTCAAACTTGTAAATCAGTGTCCTTATCGATTTCTTCCAAGGAATGATATGTAAATAGAAAAAAACGGTCAACGAAATATTTCTAAAATAAAACCATGCAAATTAACTTCAAGCATAATACATTATACATGTGAGAATGTTATTTAAAATTGATCGTGTTATCATAGTGGGCATATAGACAATAAAACATACATAGATGTAGAGACCAGATCACATCGTTTTTATTTTAATTTAAATGTCAGTTAAGCTGTCCTTTTCAATTTCACACTAAATTCCATTTTCAACTTGTTTGCTTCTTACAATTGTAAGTATTGCATGTAAGCAAAGTAAGTATCCGCTGGTTTATTACATGTATAATGTGTACCCCCTAATCGCCTGCAGGTGAAGCAGAATCTATTTTTAGAATAGCGAATGTTAACTCGTATCGTGACCTAGAAAAATATGTAAACAAACCACAAGAATCGGAAGTAGAACTGATATTATAACTTCCTTCAATAAAGATTACCATGAAAGACTACATGGTAGTAAAGTGTTGAAAAAAACTCTCTTGCTACATGCATTTTCAAAAATAGATATTTATACTAACCATTATACTGTATCTAATTTATTAATAACTGCTGAATATTCAGCTAAAACCGCGGTATGAGTCACAAAAATAGTTCTTCTTTTATTAATGCGCGAGTTATTCTAGAGACACGAAAAACTTTTGATTTGTTAATAATAATGTTTTGTATAATGTAGAAATATAAATTTCATACTAATAATTTCTTGGAACTCAGAGCTTACACCTTTATTATAGTATGATTTGCTGTCCTACTTTTTCGACAGCTGTAAATCGTTTCGGCAGTAATTTGCATATTGCGCAATAATACTACGGAACTACAACGTTTTTATCAATCAAATACGTTCATATTTTTACTTGGATAACTTAATTTGAAACTGAAAAGGCTAAATATGGAAGATTTTAAGATATCCCGACAAAGTATGTGAGTTTCAAAGGATCAAATTCATGTACTATTTCTGGGCTGTTATTCGGTTGAGGACACTTTGCGCGAGTGTAGCAGACGAAATCCCATGTGTAGATGACTTAGCTCTGAACGCGCCTGAGGGCGCGTCCGTCGCAAAAATGGCATGTGACACACGAGATAATTTACCACCTTAACGTTTTTATCCGGACTACATATACATTAAATAAACATTTGTTTTCTCTGACCTAGATTTTGTAATAAACTTTCGTTGATGACTTATCATTTGTGTTTTCTTATCATGCTTATAAAATTTTATATCAAGTTGTAACATCATTATGTTTTATTTAAGGAAAAAAATATATTGATAAATTGATAAAAATTGTTGTTTAATTTACCTTTGTTCCTTTGGTAGGTAGAGGATATCCCATATGGAAATTAAATATCATAATACCATATTCTTGAACGTTTTAAACATTCAAACAATACTTAAACACTGTTTTATAATGTCCATATCTTTATCTACAATTTGGTTTTCCAAACTCCACATGACTAATCACGATTTATTAATAGAATCCACTTTACATCGAACAAACAAACAAAAGGATTATTTATAGACGGGAGTCGATTACCCTCAAAGTCAGTCAATATAAATCGATCTATTCACAAAATTACTAGTAAACGTATATGTTTTTCATCAATCCAAAACTTAACTGGTTATAGTTGTTCTAAATACAAGTATATCAATATAGTGAGTAGCGGAGGACCCCATCTCCACTACAATAGTGTATTCCAAATGGTAAAATATGCGCTCTGAACCGAAGAAGCATGTTTTCTGCTACTGTGACAAAACCATCTACACCATTTCCATCCTCTGGGTACATTTTAATTTCGAAGGAAATAGTTAATTTGGAAACTTAATTTGTATCGAACCACGGACACAGGTTAGATGACCAGTGGTTAACCATTTACCTGCCGGAAACCGAATCTGATTAGCCTATGCCAGCACTATGTCACCAAGGCTAGCATGTCCATGTCCAGACTTTTTCCTGGTAGCGAATTAATTTTTATTTTGTTGATGAAATACTTAAAAAGTCAAATGGACTGTTCCAAGATAAAAGCACAACAAGTCAATTTGACAGATTTATCAGGATAAGGGTTAAACAGGAAGTTTTATCTGCTTGACAACACGGAAGGTAAAACACTCACTGATATCATAATATTATATACAATGGTTTGTAATCAGCAATTAAGTAAACTTAAAATCAATAAGTTCAAACTAATTTCTTTGATATCATAGAACTAGAAACCTATCTATTTTTAGATGCTAACGTTAAACCAGAATTTTCTTCATAATATCAATTTTTTCAATGTACTTGCAATATATAATGAAATTAAACTTATACATAAAAATCACTTAATTTGAGATACAACCTAACCCAAGAAGATTTTGCGAACCAATACACATTGTGATAAAATGGTCCCCGCTTAAAGCGAACTCGGAAACAGTGTACCCTCGTTTGTAAGGAACACTTGCGTTAGATTCTGTAGTGTAACGCCCAGATCTCACGGCACCAAATCGTCCCTTGTAGTGTAACGCCCAGATCTGAATAACTCAATATTAATAAGTCAACACAATATCAAGTTTATAAACGTCAGATATATGTATTTATTTAGTATGAGATATAATTCTATAAAACAATTGCTTAATCAGAGTCTTTAATAATTTCACAATTCTTAAACAAATACGTAAAGCAATAAGAATTAATGTAAACTGCGTATTTAGCATAATTTAACCTGAGTGAGTGAGTCTATTTAACATCAAAAAACCACACGGGAGAATGTAATATTTTGCTTACCTTAAATAGTAAAATATTATACGTCTTAAACTTTATTAACCCATAATTCATAACTGCAAATATGCATTTCCGGACAGCTAACAATTAAATTAACAATTATGTTTACACGCTATAGGTACAATCACCGCTTTTGTAATGACATGTCCATCAATTAACTAAATTAGGCATATCTTACTCGTGTGTCCGCTGACAGCTCATTATAATTAATATATCCGCCTATGTCTTGTTGACTAATTACCGTCTAATTACCGTTATCCTACAATTCACATGTCTTATATTTAAATCTGTGTTTACAACATACAAAATGTATTAATTTCTATTAAAGATATTTCAAAGAAACTACCTATACAAATGGAAGATAAAGTAAAGATTTTAATTGATTTTGAACGATTTCTGTTTGAGACATTAAATATATAAGAAATAAAACTACTTGCAACGATAAAAGTGATATTTTGATAAGGTCATGTATCCAGTATGTACTACAGTAGTATATCAACATTAGACCGTTATGAATTTTTCTAAAAGTACTTATCATTTTAATATAAAAAGTGGAAGCCATAAAGAACCCCCCAAAACGGCAAAACTGAAAATGTTGCAAACTCGGTTTGATTGAACCTGTTCATTGACGAGAACCTGAATTGCGTTTCATAAAAGTCCTAAGTCCGAAATCAGTTTTTAGACCAAATCCAGACTTCATGAAAACATTCAATAATTGTCCTAACAAGAGTTCAATTATATTTATAGTTCGGTTCGTATAGCTTTTTTTCAGCAATCATGACACATCTAAGATAGAGACAAATGAGAGTCTGAAAAAGGTTTTGATAATTTGATACTTCGTTTAATGCCTATCTGTAAACTAGGACGGTTTGATTACACGGCTAAAAATAGCTTTCTCGCGGAAATCCGAATCACAATAAAGGCGAAACAAATACGGTAGCAGTCAGATCTCTATGCAAGAAATAACGTAAGTAGAGCAGAGCTTTAGTCTGATAGAGATATTTCAGCACTCATTGCACAATATCACAAACTAGAAATAAGGTCAGTGAGGAAGATATAGCCTTTATTCAATTAAGTGATGTCACCGAATTTTTAAAAGAAAAAATTGACGTTTTGGAAGCCATAGTGCGAGAACATACTGATAATTCCAGTCTCCTAAGTAAATATAACAAGAACAAGAATATAACAAGAATATCCCGATCTGTATCATAATATATTATTTATGCGTGTGCTTTTAATTGTCTTACAATGAACCGTAATAATCTTATCTAAATTATGACCATTATAACCATTTTTAGAATATGAGAAAAAAATTGGCGGTGACAATAGTATGGCTCTATTAGTAAATCAATTTTAAGCATAATGCTGACTACATATTTTCCTTATTTTCTTTTTTTGTTTTGTTGTATTTTGATGAATAACTTGGCAAAGCCGTATTTCAATACAGTTACAATTTAAGTTACGTAACATTAAATGTTTGTTTGTTTGGGTTTTACGTCACACTGACACAGTATTGGTCATATTGCGACGTTGCACGAAAACCTCAGCTGCCCCTCCGTGCATTATTTAAGGCACGAACGGGCACCTGAGTAGAAACACCGACGTTATATTAGCTAGCTGGATAACTTCCTCACATGAAAGAATCCAAAATCCCTATCGGAATTCGAAACCACAGTGGCGAGGGGCAAGTGGTTCGAAGTCAACGATCTTTACCACTCGGCCTCGGACGGATGCCCCCATTAAAAGTTTAAACTGGATTGTTGTAAACAAATGTGTATACACGGTTATATATATTGATATTTTTTAGAAACCGTAAAACATATAAGTATGATTATAAGATATAATAACTGAATGAGTTATTGTTATAAAAAGTAATTGAATACTAATATAACTATATGTAAATCTAGATCCTTACTCTGACTTTTTTGAATGACAGTAGTTTTAACCACAAACATTGTCATGTTCTCTTTTGTTAACAAATCTGTTGTGGTTAATTTTTTATTGTGTTTACTAAGTAGACAGGTCAGAGATCTATGAATACCAAACATGTTTGTCTTAGATGTATTTTTGGGCGAACAGCGAATGCGATAACTATATATCGATAATTTTATACATTATTTGTCCTTTTCTGTTCTTCTTAAACGGCTTCGATCGGTTTTTAGCAAAAATAAAAACGATAAGAAAATTAAATAATCGGAAACCGAGGTTAGTATTTGATACCAACAGGCGAAGAAGTTTTAAATTGTGCTTTAACATTACTTTTGTTTATTTATGATAACATATGACATTTTCTTTTTTTTTTGTAGTTTAGTTGATTTTTTCCCAATGGCACGTTATCTTATCTTGTACAGTACAGTCCAAAGACAGTTGTACTCCATAACCAGATATGTTTAGTAATTGATGTCAAGTATAACAAAATACCAGCAAAAATGTGCTATCTTATCATAAAAACAAAGTTAAAGTTTAAAAATCTTAAAATTCTTTTAATACGGTCGTTTAAACGTTTTACACGGTTATTAAGTCGCCGTTTAAACGACTCGCATTTTTGATAACCGTTACACCTCTACTCATTTCATAAGAATAAAGGCGTTGTTTCGTTCACTTCCTGTTAAAATAACTAAAGCGTGAGTTTTAATAAAGTGTTAAATACATAAAAACACAAATGCTATATTCCTTTTAATAGTTGCCCATTCTTTGGCTGTAAATATATCCCTCCCCCAAAAATATGTAACACATTATTTTCCTCTTAAGCTTTCTCACTATGATAAAGGAAATTTTATCATCGAAAATGTTAGAAAATTAAACGATAGATAAAGGGCAATGTTATAACGAGTATCCCATGACAAGGAAAGGATCGAAAGTTGAAAATATTATAATTACTATATAAATTATGGTGGCTGATTTGGTACACTTTGCGCGTTGCGTTATCGACAGTGACAACACAACCTATATCCTTTTCGCCTTTTCGTCTTGTTGTTAGCGAAACGCGCCAAATGGCGCGTTGTCGCACTGTCGTCTTGTCTCTAACGAAGCACGCCAAACGGCACGTTGTGATGGGGCGCGTTGTCTCGATACCGCCCTGCCGTTTGAACATGTCACCAATCCTTCGATATGAGTCGAGCGACAATGTGACATCGCCACAACTAGCCGCACGACAACAAGCCGTTTGGCGTGCATCGTAGACGAAAGTCCGACAACGCGCCGTTTGGCGCTTTGTCGTGCTTTCTCTATGAAAAACACAATGCACAAAAGCGTTCAAAATCAGCCACCATAATAAATACATGACATTCAAGTTTTTTCTATGAATACAGGATTTGTATTTTTCATCTGGTGGTTTAAAAATAAATATTTCACAATTGACGGTAGCCACGACTGAAATATATTCATTGTCATGCCACAAGATGAAAATTAATTCTGTATTTATAGAATAATAACTTGATTTTCTGTTCACGGAATACTTTTTTTCTCTCTTTTATTTCTGACAATTTGAAAGACCTCCCCTAAAATTTTGTGTATTTCGTGAATTTAGAAGAAAATATTCCGGCAAAACACCCGTAAAATACGGAAAATAAGCTTCACTGTAGTAAAATATATTTTTTACAGCGAAAATACGGAAAATGAAGATACGCATTTTATTTCATCAATAGTCCTCAATATTAAATTTTAAATAAATTTTACAGGCGTATTACCCTGTACAATATTACCTGCAACACTACACTTTAAGGAAAATATCAATTCAAACGATGATTTAGTCAGTGTATGATTGAAGTCTGTAAAAAAGTTCAGTTTTATCTCATACTGGGTAATAAATAATAAAGTAAGTGGTTTATTATTGACATTTTTATGTATTGAAATTTTAAAAATTGATTGAGTTTTTTTATTTATTTTTTATTTATATGTGTTTGACATATTTAATCAAATGCAGACAATCATGTTTTACGTTACGGTAGATAGGTTTCTGTATCTTTTATGTTAAAATTAACTTCCTGTTCGTTTAATGTCCGATATATATTTTCAAAAGTATAAGATAAATATTAAATAATGAGATAATTATAACAATTAATTTTTTCTACCTCTCACTATTTTTGTAATGTTAATTTCCCATAGGCGAATGTGAGTTATTCTTACTCTTAATTCAAGTGTACCATGTGATTAAAGACTTTTAAAGTACGGATACTTCTTTAAACTTTATACATTAAAAGTCTGAAACATAAAACGTACTATAGAAACAGTGTCTCAATGAAGTATTTGTTCTTGGTGATAAAATAGAAAAACACATAGGTTTGTGAGTAACAGCAAAAATATCATCCCTCGTAAAAAACTGTTACCCTATACGCCTCGGGTTCAGAATATAATTATGTCATTTATGGTTTTTCAAGTAACTTTTCATTTTCTCTTTTATTAATTTAATGTTTTGCACAATTGCAACTTAAAGTTATATAAAAGTTAACATAATTGAATGTATTTGATTTTTACAGTCATTCAAAAGATTGTATAGTAATATTAATTTTATTCTATTTGAAACATTTTATAATTTTGGCTCATTTGTATATATCTATTTTCTTCCATTGCTTTTTTATAATGGCTGATTTGGAATGCCTTTGTGCATTGTATTGTCGCTAGCGACAAAGCGCCAAACGGTGCGGTGTCGGACTTTCGTTTGTCGTCCTGTCGCTAAAGATGCATGCCACATTTTCGTTCGGCTCAAATCGACGGATAAGCTTTTAAGCAAAGCGACATCGAGACATCGCGACAACGCGCCGCTTGACAACGCTCCATTTGGGGTGCTTCGCTAGTGACAGGACGACAAGACGACAGTGCGACAACGCGCAGTTTGACGCGTTTTGCTAGCGACAAGACTAAAAGGCGATAACGAGTTGCTATCGACAATGCACATCAGTCACCATACTATTAAGTCAGTCATGTATTATCATAAGTTCAACATAAAAGAGACAGAAACATATGTTCAGAAACGTAAAAGATAATTGTCTTCATTGGATTAAATGTGTAAAACCCATACAAATGAATACCAATCATTCAATATTTTTTGAGATTTGTTAATGGTATAATTCTATCTATATACATGTACATGTATGAGCTGCGCCGTGACAAAATCAACAGAGTGCATTTGCGACCAGCATGGGTTCAGATCAGCCTGCGCATCCGCGCAGTCTGGTCAGGATCCATGCTGCTCGCTATCAGTTTCTGTACTTGTATAATAGGGTTTGTAAGCGAACAGCATGGATCCTGATCAGAATGCGCGGATGCGCAGGCTGGTTTCGATCCATGCTGGTCGCAAACGCATAATGTAGGTTTTGTCATGGCGCTACTCATTTGTATATATCTATTTTCTTCCATTGCTATTTTTTCAGTCATGTATTATCATAAGTTCAACATAAAAGAGACATAAACTTATGTACAGAAACGTTAAAAACATGATTGTCTTCATTGGATTAAATGTTTAAAAACACATACATACATATTTATTGAGATTTGTTTATTGTATAATTTTATCAATCTATAATTTATAATTTAAGGTCAAAAGACATCCAGTGTTCACTAAAAGAGATAAAAACTGTAAGTGCACCAATCAATGGAGAAACGAATTGGCGACTTTTCAGCACCTGATGATGTACATAATAAATGTGCTTGGTATTATATATGTCATTTTTTTTTAAATTTACATTAAATAAAGAAATAAATATACAGATTATAACTGTACTTCTATAATTAACGTAAATTTTGTTAAAATATTTGTTTGATTCAAAGGCGGTTTACTCGCTATTGCTGTACGTACAAAAACTGAAAGAAATATTTGATTGTATAAAGATGGTTATATGATATCGAAGTACAAACTATATATGATTCAGGAAAATAAATAAAATTGATGTACAGAAAGTATCTGTCAGAATAATCATGAAGTTTATATGTAGATATGTATCTTACAACGAGTTAATATTTCCCTACAGTGATATATTGTTGTAGATGAAACAACGAGTTAATATTTCTTTACAGTGGTACATTGTTTTAAATAGAGTGTAAATATCATGTTTAAACCAGTCGCTGTATGTATACATGTTTAAAGGTCAGATCGTTTAAGCTAGCAAATATGCGCGTTTTGAGAGAGATTTTACATCAGTTAGGAGAGACACGCTGATAGTGTGTAGCGGTTATTTTTTCTGTACGAAATCTGCTGTGGTCATAGTATTATTTTTACAATAGGTTTATCTCTTAGATTTGGTTCGCTAAATTGCTTATCATGGTCATGCAACTACATAGTTAGGTGAAGAAGCAGGCGCTTGTTTTGGTTGAGTCTATTATGTTTTGTTTAGGGGGTTGAGTTGTCATACACAAATTTACAATTTATATGCATTTATTTTTTTCCAATGATTGTTATTATCTTCAATGCTTCTGGGATAATTGTTTTATCAATTCATTTGTAAATAAGATTGTTATATGTCTATTAACGGAATAATTTTAATGAACACGAAATTAGTTCACACCTACATGTGTATTGGTATTAACGTGATGGTTTAAGCCAATGAAAACACGTCAATATTATTATACTCAGGCAGAGAAAAAGTGTGCAAAGAGTAAATCGATAATCTTTATGTAGCCAGCAAACTTTGAATTCCAAGTATTTTTTCATATCTTTTCGGCAGGATAAACTGTCCGAGGATTCGTATCGTAAAATGGCTGCCATTTACAGTATCAAGTGATTATCCCAAGCACCACCGCGACTTCGCGCGGGAATTTTAATTATAGCTAACCTCTGCGCGTATACCTTTTTCATATTTTATTGTAATAAATATTTACAAACTGTGTCTTTCGGGTTTTTTTATCAATATATAGCCTATAATGATGTTAATATGAATAAATAATCATATCTCAAATCTTTGACTATGATTTACAATGAAATTCTACCTTTAGTGTATTAAAAAGGTTTTTAATTTCCTGTAATTTTATTTTGTGATTATGCTTCAAAGCAGTCAATTGACCGTGAATTTTCTTTTCATATTTTGATTTCCTTGAAATCATTTTTCTCATCTGAAGGCATGCAACTATTATGGTGATACATTAATTACATTCCGTGAAAATGTTTAAAGATATAAAATATCTCATGACATGTTTGTTCATTTTACATTACACCTTTAATTAGGCAAACATAAAGTCTTCACAAAAAGTAGTATGCAATCGTACCTATATTACATACGAATGTATGTAATATTTTTCTTGTTTATTGAGAAGAGAATTTTGTTGTTTTGAAGGGAATTTTGTTGGTTGTTGAAGTTGGTTGAATATAATTGTTGTGATCTTAATTGATCAGGGTTTATTGGTTGTAATTAGTTGTTTTGGTTGTTGAGTTATATCTGTTTGTGAAGATATAATTGGTTGATATTGGTTGAATGTTTGTCTGATCAAGATTATATTAGTTGATGCTTTGTTTGGAGGATATATGTAAATATTGGGTGCTTCAGTTTGCTATTCTGATGCTGATTAGATTGTGTGAAGTTAATATTGTTGGATGAATGTTTGTGATTTATACGGTATCTTAGAGTTGTAAAAACATTCATTTTTGTGTTCTTCATTTTGTGATGATCTTATTGTTTTGTTTGGTCATAAGTTGTTTAGAGCTTGGGCTCGCCAGGTGTCTTGTTTTGTTTCGTATAAAAGACGTATACGAGGAAAGATATTTCGTATAAGTGGCTGATAAATGATGTGTGTTTGTTTTGGGTGTAAATAATGATCAGAGTTCTGTGTTTTGGGTGTGGTTGTTGTTTAAATGTATATATTGATTTGAGATAGAAAAAGTTAAAATACCTAAAAAAATAGTGTTAATTAAACAATTACATGCTAGTTTTCCAACTGAGAATATTTCAATTTTATGTCAGGCGGTGCTGCCCAGCCCCCATATCTTGGAAATTGGTTCTAGTATTTATTACTAAATCTTTCCTTAGATTAAATAACATCAAGGCAGACATTTTCCCCTGACAGAATCAACGATTAAAGGGACTCCACTGAGGTTTTTATTTGAGGTTAAGGGACCGAAAATATTTTTTCAAGATTTTTGTATAACTAGATGTATGTCTAGACCAATAATAACTTATGTACAAAATTTCACATCATTTGCTCACTCAGTTTCTCAGAAATAATCAATTTTATTGTGCAAATTGGTCAGAAAATAAAAAACCGTTTCGCTTTTTCATTGGCAAAAAATAAAGAATTGCATAAAAATCGATTATCAATTTATATATCATCTATTGCTTGGTTTCAAATTTAAGTGTACCATTTGATTTAAGAAAGTATTTCAAAATTTATTATTTTAGGCTATTGAACCTCAGCGGAGTTCCTTTAATGTGTTACATATAAGGCTGTCAGTGTCAATGACATATCAAATACTGAGTTACTGAAAAGACAAAAACATAATAACATTGTATCACGGACGTAATATGTAAAATACTATCAAAATGTATATCTGTCATCTAGGGAAATGTCCAGATTAAAACATTAACAATAATAAAAAAAATACAATGGCATTGATTTTACGTATGTTCTTTTTTCAGCAATCATAACAATACTAAATTGCAGGAAGGTAAGAGTTTATAAAAAATAAGAAGGACCAATAACTCCGTAATAATGTTCGAAAGACTTTGTAGCAAAAATGAAATATAATTTTAATGTATAAAAACTTTATCATATATTAATAAAAAGAAGTTTAGAACTGTTGTAAGTTAAACAGAGAAACAATTAAAGTATATTTTAGATTCTAAAACTTATTTAACGCAAGTGTCTTATGAGAACTATATTTGTGCAGTCCGACTGGTTTTTTGGCTGCACTTTTGAAAGATATGTCAGCTATTTACTTCACATTGCCGGGCGTTTTTTTCTTTTATCATTTTATACAGACATTTTAGCGCTGACGTCACAATACTGTAAGTTAGAGAGTAAGTTCTGCGAGGAAAAACTGGCTCGGTTACAGTTAAATGATGACACTGAACGTTTAAAGGAAAGACTTGCCGTCCTTGAAGCCCTAGTGCGAAGAACAGGAGACAATTCTGGTCTTTGTAGTAACAATAAACAATGTTTTGTTGAAGATCCCAATAAAAGAGATTCCGGTAATGTAAAATAAGTTTAGATCTACTATAAAAACAAAATAAAATAAATTTATTAACCGAGTGGTTAACGCGTCTGACTAGTAATCTAAGAATTGCTGACCACGTGGGTTCATACCCCGTTAAGAGCAAGCCGTTGTTTCTTTGAGCAATAAACTTTACATCTATTGCTTGGTACTGGTTGGTTCCAGGAACGCATTCGAGAGTTTTTCCCAAAATTAATTACAAAACGGAATTTTAAATAGGATAAACAAAAACCCCCTTTAATCTATCCTTGGGTTTTAACCCCATTACCCGAAATAAAATTTTTTTGGGGTATATGCCCTTATTGTGTTAACCAAAAAAACAAATAAAATAAAATAGAAATTTTATTTTTTCTTTAAAGCTTAAAATTTTAAAAATTAAATAAATATTTAAATTTTACAAAGACCTTTTTTTTTTTAAAAAACAATTTTCGTTACCATGTCAAAAAGCTGGCATAAAAAGTCACCAAAGTGAGACACAAGAATCCGCTATTTCAATGGGTGACGTATTTCGGGATATAGATAATACTAAATATACCAAGGACTCCACAAGTTATAATGATAAAGCACGGTAAATTTCATATCATATCATATCATATCATGTCAATATCATGTCATATCATATAAATGTCATGTCATATAAATGTCATGTCATATCCATATCATGTCATACCATGTCATATTCATATCATGTCATACCATATCTATATCTTATCATATAAATATCATGTCATATCGTGTCATATCCATATCATGTCATATCATATAAATATCATGTCATATACATATCATATCCGTATCATATAATATTCATATCATATCATGTCATATCATATAATATCATGTCATATTATATCCATATCATGTCATATCATATTCATATCATATCATGTCATATTCATATCATATCATATATCATGTCCACATCAAATCATGTCATATTATATAATATCAGAATACTATCATGCCATATCATTTCATGTTATATCTTATCATAAAATACAAAACTAATTTTGAATTACTTGTAATTTATGTTCTCTACATTCGACATTCTGTAAATAAATCTGATTATATTTGTAATTTTAGTAATGAATGTAAAATTTGGTTTTTAATCTTTAATTCGTAAATAAATCCGGTTTTTCATGCTGGAAATATTATTAATTAAATTGATGCACAAATTAATATTTCTTTACCTTTTTAGTATATGTCTTAAATCTGATGACTTTATATACCCATGTTATAACAACCCTTTACGTATATCAATTTATTAATCGGAAATAAAAATAATGTAATTAAAAATTTCAGCACAAACTCAAAACGGAAAGTAAACTTTCTAAACGACGAAGGTAAGTTTCATACGAGTTGTCAGTACGAAAGACCAGTGGGGACATTTCAACTTCACGAATCCTCAATTTCGTGAATTCACAATTTTAACTTATTGAATTTGTGTTTTCAACACACGGAATTCAAGAATTCTCGATTTCAGTTTCATGACTTCACGATTTCAACTTCACGAATGTGAGATTTTAACTTCATGAATTCACGAATTAAACATCGTGAATTCACGTTTTGAACTTAACGATTTCATCTTCACGAATTCACGCTTTCAAGTTTACGCTTTCAACTTCGTGGATTCAATTTTATGAATTCATATTTTGAACATCACGATTTCAACTACACGAATTTACGGCGATTTCATCTTCACGATGTTGAAAGCCTGAATTCATGATGTTGAAGATCTGAATTCGTGAAGATGAACCCAAGAGTTCAAAAAGTTAAAATGTCACCATCGGCCTTTCGTTTGTCAAATTTCAAGTACATGTCTTTTGTTAATCCTTTGTCAACGATTGTTTAATGTTTAAAATCGAAAGAAATAGTTGCAAATCTGCTTAGACAATTTATAAACGAGTTACGTTTAAATGGAGAGGAAGCTATGACGTCATACATCATCGATTCATTATCCCGCAAATTCACATTTGTGCGAGATTGTCGGAGAATATGTTTGACAAAAGAAAGTTTACCGATATGTACACCGCCATGTTATCTAAAATTTGTTATGGTAATAAAAAGAAATAACAAAAATGTAATAAAACAAGCAAAAAAATGAAAATTAATCTCAGTAATGGATGAAAATGTAAACACGTTGGTTACGTAAAACAAAATTGTGGTAACTGATCAACTCCAAGGGTCAATGATATTCGCGTTAGGGATTATGGGTCAGGATTTGTAAATTTTCTATCATTAGAGCTTCATATCCCTCTATAACATAAGTCTCTGGATTTTTTATAATTCTAAAAACTGAAGCTTTTTAAATTTTCAGTAGATATTGTCAAACAAGATGTGAAAAGAGTTTACGACGGAGATAGACATTGGAGATATATGGCAAAATCAGAACAACGACGAAGTATGTATAGTTATAGTACACGCTTTATGTAACGCGTAATATGATTGGTTATTAGATTCAAATTTGTTATAATATAATTTATTGTATTAAAGTTTGGAGATC